TATATCCATTCAGGTACTGTGGTAGTTAGATTATTGAAAACAAGCTATATGCCTTTCATCTGGGGCAGTATATGCGGACATGTGACACAATAGTTTTGTGAGCGAAGAGGATCTGACTTTTGTCACCATAATTATGGATTCTTCTTTTCTCATGGGTAGCATAATTTCAGAGCCTCGTGATGATATGGAATTTGAATCGCATGAAGCTGCCTATGCATTTTATAAGGAATATGCTAGGTCTGTGGGGTTTGGCACTGCCAAATTGAGTAGTCGTCGGTCTAGAGCATCAAAAGAATTTATTGATGCCAAGTTTTCATGTATAAGATATGGTAATAAACAGCAATCTGATGATGCAATCAATCCACGCCCGTCTCCAAAAATTGGTTGTAAAGCAAGCATGCATGTGAAAAGAAGGCAAGATGGCAAGTGGTATGTCTATAGCTTTGTGAAAGAGCACAATCATGAGCTTTTACCTGCTCAGGCTCATTTTTTCAGGAGTCATAGGAGTAATGATCCACTTGGTAATGATGTCCGCATGCGAAGGCGGAAGAATTTGACTGCAGTTTCCAATTGTTTAGTGCATATCAAAATGTTGATTGTCTAGAGAACTTTTTGAGAAATCTACATGATAAGGGACGGAGTTTGGTTCTAGAAACTGGGCATGCCCAATTGCTTCTTGAACTCTTTATGCACATGCAGGAAGAAAATCCAAAATTCTTCTATGCTGTTGATTTGAATGAAGAGCATCGACTGAGAAATGTGTTCTGGGTTGATGCCAAAGGTGTGGAAGATTATACTTACTTTGGTGATGTTGTTTCTTTTGACACAACATATTTCACCAGCAAGTATAAAATACCATTGGTACTTTTTATTGGAGTAAACCATCATATTCAACCCACATTGCTTGGTTGTGCGTTGATTGCTGATGAGACCAATTACACTTTTGCTTGGTTACTGCAAACATGGTTAATTGCAATGGGGGGCCGAGCTCCACAAGTGATTCTTACTGATCAAAATGAGGCCATGAAAATAGCTGTTGCTGCTGTTCTTCCAGGTACACGACATTGTTTTTGTTTGTGGCATATTTTGGAAAAGATACCAAGACAGCTTGAATTTTTAAGTGCATGGCATGATAATTTCATGGAAAAATTCAACAAATGTATATATAAATCATGGACAGAGGAACAGTTTGAAAAGAGATGGTGGAAGTTGGTTGATAAGTTTAATTTGAGAGATGTTGGATGGATCCAATCTTTATACAATGATCGGACACGTTGGGTGCCAACTTTTATGAGGGAGATCTCTTTTGTTGGATTGTCCACTAGCTCTCGTGCAGAAAGTTTAAGTGCTTTGTTTGACAACTATGTTCAGTGTGATACTTCGTTGAGAGAATTTTTAGAGCGTTACAGAATGATTCTTGAAGAAAGGTACGAAGAAGAAGCCAAAGCAAATTTTGATGCCTGGCATGAAACACCTGAATTAAAATCTCCTTCCCCTTTTGAGAAACAAATGTTATTCGTTTACACGCATGAAATTTTTAAGAAGTTCCAAGTTGAAGTTATGGGTGCGGCTGCATGCCATCTTAAAATGGAAAATGATGGTGTGGCTGCAACATATACTGTGAAAGACTTCGAAGATGATCAAAGTTATGTGGTAGAGTGGAACAAATCTAACTCAGATATATGCTGCTCCTGTCGCTCATTTGAATATAAGGGTTATATTTGTAGGCATGCTATTGTTGTTCTACAAATGTCTGGGTTTTTCAGCTTACCACCCAAGTATGTGTTGCAACGATTGACAAATGCTGCTATGAGCAAGCATCCTATCAGTGAAAGATTAGATGAGGTGCAATCCAAGGTCCGACGGCTCAATGATTTATGTAGACGAGCCATAATATTGGGTGAAGAGGGTTCTTTGTCTCAAGAAAGTTATTATATTGCTTTAGGTGCCATAAGAGAAGCCTTAAAGCAATGCACAAGCATGAACTCTGTTGAGAACGATGCAAGACTTGATGCTTTAGTTACTCAAGTATGCAATGTGGAAGAAGAGCATCAATCTGGTAATGCTTTTAACAAGAAAGTTCCTGATCCAAGGATGACTAGTGGGAACAAGGCTGCGAGGAATGGTGTGGCTGCTAGGGAAGTAGGAATTGCAGAAAATACTGAAGGAAATAAGGGGAAGGTCAGTGAGTTTATGGATATGTGATTGATCTTTGTTCTTATTTTATTTTAAATTATTTACGAGTTTTCCTTCTTTATTATGTAATAGGCATCTCAACTAGAAGCAGTGAGCGGCCAAGATGGTTTTCACCAAATGGTATGCCATGTCCTTACGTCCTTCTATTTTTAAAAATAGAAACGTGCCCTTTGCTTTACTTTTGGCTTCAATGGCTTATAGATTTTTGGATGCAAAAATACTATTGCATCAAATTTCAAGAGGTGTGTGTGTGTGTGTGTGTCACGTGCTTGCTTATGGTGATGGTTGTAAAGCTTTTGGATTGACTGTGATATGTTATTAGGTAACCGCGCAATCATGCAATGTCCATTCATCTTCCGACTGCATTCAACATATCTCTATTCTTGATGATGTTTAGTTTATTATCTCGACGCTTTGTTGAATACCATGAAGCACGAATTTGGAATGACTTTAATGTCTGTATATGTTGTTACAGGAACTGACAGATATGAGGCAACATAATGTCCTGCCTATGCAGTTTCATAGTATGGTGCCTTCTCTGTTCCATACGTCAACACAGTATCATAACGCATCTGCAACTCACTTGCATGAGAATTGCCTTCCTCGTTAGCCGAATGATGATGATAGTTTACTTTGTAAAGAATCCAAGATTTTGTATAGAAGTTTACGGAACAGAATGTTCGAAATGTATTCTGTAGAGGATCGGTGTGATAAATAGAGGCATCTTTCAATCTTGGTTCTCATTTAAGTAAGTTTTTATGTCGAGTATGTATGTAAATGGACATACATATGATTATAATCAGTGGTGCTAGGTAGGAAAGAAATTCTGAATATAGAAAACAAAGGAATGAACATGAAAATGGAATAAGTCAATATTATCGTGTTTATTATTACTTATCTTTTTCTTTTTGGGTAAAAGAGATGGCAAAACCCGGGAGAGTCAGAGAGATTGAAAAATAACCCAAGACCTATGCGACAAGGCATTCAGATGGGACGTGATAACCTTTATTTACGCTGGTAATTTTCTTGTAGATACACCAGTGAGTTGATGTGCATGCCAATTTTTTAAACAAGATTTATTTTTTAAGCTGTTTTAATACAAAGTTGAGTTCCAAATCTTTTTTATATTTAAAATTAAAATGCGGAAAAATGAATATATACATTGAAGTAAAAAGTAATGTTTACACTATGGAATCTTAAAATCGGTAACTACGGAATTACTATAGCTGTATTCTCAATTCTGTGTGAGATGCAAGGATACTACAATCTTTCGGAATGAGATTAAAGATGAAAAGATTAAATTAAACTTAAATAAGGACACTTTTTTTTTTAAGTCTAAAGTAAGGATAAAAAGCTTTTGAGTAAATTGGTTTAAAAGTTTAATGCTTTCATTCTATGATTTGCACCCTTGAAAGTAAGAATTTGCAAGTGAGATTTACTAATTTATGAAGAAAAAACTTATTAAATATATCATTACTTGAGAATAAGTCACTAAAAATTTGACTAATTGTTAAAGCATTAGTTTAAAAGTTAATGATTAAAATCGTAATAGATCGATGGTTAGATTAGTCATTAATAAAGCATTTTATTAAACTGATAAAGCATGAGTTTAATGGTTTATCAATTCAATTAATTAGGTTGGCTTGCTTTTTAATACCATGCTTGATAAGTTTTTTTTTAATAATAAATTAACAAATCTTATTTGCAAGTTTTTTTTGTCATAAATTAATAAATCTAACTTGTAAATTCTGGTTTGTGTTTAAACTAAACATGTCTTGAAGTGGCAATAACCACCTCTACTAGGATGAGCTCTGGTTAAGAAAAATACTTTTATTCTTCTAGAGATCCTAAAATTATTTTTAGCCTTCACTAGTACTGGAGTTTGGTATAATATAGCATTTTTTCGGGGGGAAGGGGGGGGTTGTCTGGTATAAGTGTTGCATCTTGCATGGAAAATGAATTATATAAAGATGGATTGTGAACGGTATGAATATTAAAATAGAAAAAATATAATAAAATCTTTAAATTATATAAATGATAATTTAATATTTTAAAATGTCATAATTTTATTAAAGCTCCTACGGACTTTTGTATCAATAAATTTTAAAGTGAAAAGATCATTTTACCCTTATTGAAAATAACAAACCTCAATAATAAATTTTACTTAAAAAATAAAAACTTTTTTTTGTAAATTACAAGAATTAAACAAAAAATTATAATTTGCTAAGTATAATTTCTGTTATTAAAAAAAGTTATTAAGATAACAAGTCTCAATTATAACTTTTACTTAAAGAATAACAACCTTTATTTTATAAATCATAAGAGTTGAAAAAGTTATCAATTTATCAAGTGTAATTTATGTTATTAAAAAAAGTTATCGAAATAACAAGCTTCAATTACAATTTTTATTTAAAGAATAACAAATTTTATTTCAAAAATCGTAAGAGTTGAATAAAAATCTACAACTTGTCAATAAAAATAAAATAAAATTTTTAATTTAAAATTTATTAACATTGAATCAATATAATTATAATATTTCAATGGATTAAATTATCATTTGTACAATTTAAAAAGATTTTATTATCCTTTTTTCATTAAAATATTTATATTATAGTTTATCAAAAAAATATTTATATTATATATAGAAGACATAAATATATAAAGCCGTGCAATAACGATTTGTGCGTGTCTGATTTATAAATATTTTTAATTTTAATTTTAATTTTAATTTTATTATATAGATTGATATTGATAATTTGATATACTAAAAGTCTGAGATAAATAATGGTGATATTGATTTTTTCTTTTGTCCCTGACGTTTTATCCGAACTGAGTCTCAGACGCATGTTGCCTAGACATGCGATCCTGCTGATTTTCGTTGAACTCAAGGCTAACAAGCCCAACAGGGAATAATTCGTTGGTCGAGTCAAATTGGTTTCCCAGCGTCTCAAACGCCATGGCATTGTGCTCGAGCTTGTGTCCTCAGATTTCACATTACTTCAGAGGAAGAATCATCTACCCTTTCTCCATCACATCACCCAATTCTGTATCTTTTAGAACCTTTTCTTCTCAGATATCCAATGCCTCAGCTCAAGGTATTCAATTCAGACTACCCCCTTGTTGCGAATTTGAGCTGCAATTTCGTGATAGGGCATGCCTTCTGGTTTCTTTATCAAGTTTAAAATGATAAAATTAATTAACGTTTATATTTTGCCGTGCTTGTAAACGTTATGCTCAGTTGTGCGTAGAACAGGTTTTTAATAACAGTTATGACAAATTAAAAATTGCAGTTACTTTGTGCGTAGAACAGGTTTTTAATAACAGATATGACAAAATTAAAAATTGCAGTCAGCAAGGCACTTATGGTGTGGTCAATGTAATTGTCTGAACTCTGAGGCTGTGGAACCCAATGTGCTTTGAGCCTTTGACTGCTAGCTTAATTTTACTTTATTGAGTGCCACTTGTAAGTTAATTTTGACTCTTATTCGATGTCATCATGTAATTTTTGAACTTCAATGCTGAAATTTTCAGTACGATCTCTCCCTTTCACGGAAGAGTAACTCGCATTTTTTGGTATATACATAAATGAAATTTTTGTATTTGATAAATGTATAATTCCAGGAGATGAGTGAATCACAAGGCATTGAGGTTGAGCGTAGCATTTGCTGTAGCATGATATAAATTCAGATAAACTTCTAAAGATTTGTTTAAAATGAGATGTCTAATTCGCTAATTGTGACACAAGAAACTGAAAAGGGTGTATAAGATCCACATCCTATTCTAGCAACGCTGAAGCAGATACAAGGCTAAAATACCAGTATGTACTCTGCCAATATGTTTTTCTATCCCACTGAACCAAACTATTATTTTGTGCTTTCAGTAAATGAGGCACCACGTGTTGGCTTTTTAGGCATCGGAATTATGGGCTCTCCAATGGCACAAAATCTGTTAAAAGCTGGGTATGGATCAACATAACTTCTTCATTGTATTTTTAGGAATAGCTACAATGTAACAAAGGATAAAATTTAATTACTACCCAAAGAGTAAAATTAGTCTGCATATGCATTTTTTTTTAATTTTCCTGTTACTGTAGAAGTGCGTGTTTACATGGTTGAATTAATAGTGGGTTACTTATCAAAATTCTTGTTTGGCTTATTTCATTGTTCTGGCCAATTGTTTGAGTTGACAATAATTTCTAGTTAAAACTATATAGATTGAATAGAGTTGACAATGACAAGTCTATCACAAACTTAAGCAATTCTATGTTTGATCTGCAGATGTGACCTGACTGTTTGGAATAGGACCAAGAGCAAATGTGATCCATTAATTAGCTTGGGAGCAAAGTAAGTTTTTGAAATACATATTTCCATATAAATGCATCTTTTCTATGTAACATAATGATAAAATTTCCACGCCATTACTATTAGCAAATGTGCATTATGGATTGGATGAGGTACTGAGGTTCTTTTTTTAAGTCTCTGGTATTAACCTTTAATGCAGACATGGTTTATATATTAGGGTGTGCAGACACACATTTTTTGTATGCTGGACAATAAATGTACGTCTGCTGTTAATATAGAGCACAGAAAGTTAGTATTCATTCCATCTTCACTTTCTAGTCACCAGAAGTTCTGGAAGTATCCTCATTTAATTGACATTCTAGTAGTACTAGTAGTAGATAAACTTGTTCAGCTTTTTGAACTTATCTAGCGGCAAGGGTGTGTCTTTACTGCTCATAGAACCTATATATGAAAGTTAATATGATTCCACTGGAGATCTTAAATATGTTTCACATGAATTTGTTTCTGCAGATATAACTCATCTCCTGAGGAAGTAGCTGCTTCTTGCGATTTCACATTTGCCATGCTTGCTGACCCTCGGAGTGCTGTACGTATACTTCAGCTTTGTTTACTTGATGTCCAATTGTATGTCAGCACTCAATTGTTATCTTTTCCCCATTCCAGGTGGATGTTGCCTGTGGAAAGCATGGGGCTGCAAATGGATTGGGTCCAGGAAAAGGGTGCAATGTGCAAACTCAAACTCTTTTCAGTATTTTTCTACAATTTGACACATAATGTCATTTGAAATGGTTGTTGACTCTTTTGCACATCAAACACAGCATTATTTCTTCCCCATCTCCTCATGCCTTATAGTCTCACTTCCTAGAAACTTTACCTCCAGCCTGATTTAGCATATCCATGGCTGTCAAGAGTTAAAACATTGTTATTTTTGTGGATTGCATACTAATATATGCAATCCATAACACTTAATTGCTTGTTTATTTTTCAAAAGAAGTGTTGAAGATGTATCATGTAACAACTAATGGTGTTTTTTGCAATTTCCTCCATAGTCTGACAAGCGGCGTGATACCTATATTCAGATATGTAGATGTTTCAACAGTCGATGGGATCACATCTAAATTGATTAGCGGGCATGTCAAATCTACTGGAGCATTATTTTTGGAGGTGCAGTGCATTATAGCTTCATTTTAGATTCTCCTTGATTCTTCATTGGTGCAATTAGGATATGCATCATTTAACCCTTCTGTGCGGCAAATGTCGTAATTCCTACCAAGTCATTTTGGTGCCCACAGGCTCCAGTTTCAGGTTCCAAGAAGCCTGCAGAAGATGGACAGCTGATATTTCTAACAGCAGGTAAAGTTCTGTATTGTTGTCTATCAGTTCCATAATTTTGCAGGGAAGGAAATTTTTAAGAAACTTTTTCAACTTTATTTACCAGAATGAAAGTCAACTGGGATGCACAATATAAAATTGAACCAGTGCCGGCAACTGCAGATGCTTGAAATTTCCTTTAAACGAGTTATAATGTCATCCGCTAGCTGAATTTTCTTTTCATGTCATCATCCTTATTTGTAAGGAAAACAATATCATCCTGATGGCGATGGCAATCAGACTGTGCATTTCTACCCAGCAAATGGGACCTTACCAGCTCCAAAATATTTGCGATGTTTCAGGTGATAAAGATCTTTATGACACAATTTCTCCTTTTCTGGACATAATGGGGAAGGTATGTAGTCCTTTTTTCATTATTCTTGGTCCTTCATGCCAAGTAAAATAGTTAATTGATTCACAGCTAATTATGTTTCTATGCAGTCAAGATTTTACCTAGGAAATGTTGGAAATGGAGCTGCAATGAAACTTGTTGTCAATATGATTATGGGCAGGTTTTGTACAGTTGGTTGCTCACTATTTGATGTGATTTATCCTTACATTAATGACTGAGGTAACAATATTTATATCCATATTTTTCCATCGATCACAGTATGATGGCATCCTTTTCTGAAGGATTACTTCTCACAGAGAAAGTGGGGCTGGATCCTAAAGTACTAGTGGAGGTATTTCCTACTCCGCAAAATCTTGCTACCATAATTATAAAAAACTTATCCTCAAAAAAATTGTTTTGGTTATTATGACTGAAATTTGCTATCGTTGCCCATGCTTTCAAAGGGCCAAGTAGAAGTTATGTCCCTTAAAATCATGTTGATAGGGATAGTAAAGAGACTGAGTTTTTTTTTTCTTCTGGAATGCTTGAAATAAGTGTTTCTTCCTGTATATGTGTTGAGTCTGTCTATTCATGTTCTAGGGTTGCTTGCTCATAGCTTGATCTGTCTTTCTTCCTTGTATTATATTTATTTTTATCTTGTGATTCCTCTTTGTTGGTCATTGATAAAGAAGTATTTATTTTGTAAGCACTAGAAAATAAATATTCTTTAGGAGCTTTACGAATCGTGATATTGCAGGTTGTTTCACAGGGTGCCATTAGTGCGCCAATGTACTCAACCAAGGGCCCATCCATGATTCAGTCACTCTATCCAACTGCATTTCCCCTTAAGCATCAGCAGAAGGTATCTACATGCTATAATTTTGAAAATTAAACCAGACCAGCCAATTCAAGTGATAAACCAATAAGCTTATAGACTCGGTCTCCAGGCTTAACTGACTTGCTTAAGGGTTACTTAAAGGCCATTGATCCTCTACATCGTGGATGGAATAATGCGTGCACTGCTTCAATTGATGTTCTTGATAATAGCTGCGCATTGTATGTGTGTGTACTTACAGACAAAGGACAAAATAAATTAACAAAATTGATTATCAAATACCTCCTCCTGTCCTCTTTATAAAATGTATGGGACATCTTTCGCGTGCTGTAAGTTATCATGTTTTTCGTCATCTGTGCAATGTCTCTAGTAGGGGTAAAATGAGAAGATTATTCCAACTTTATGTTCACCACCTTGTAGTAAGGAATACCTTTTGTGTTTGCAAAACACTTTATAAATAGGATTGGAGGAAATACTAAAATAAATAAATCTGGTCTGTACTATGTGGATATGATCTGAATGGTCCAAATCTTTTAGAAAGTAATAGTATCACAACTTTGAAGAATCCCTATTCTTCATTTTCCTGGTTTAATTATGAGTTTGAATTTTAAACATCAATAGAAACTCCTGTTCTGCCAACTTGCTGAGAACTCTTTGTTATTTTCTGACACTAAGATCAATGGTGGTGGCAGGACATGAGGCTTGCCCTAGGGTTAGCAGAATCTGTTTCGCAATCTACTCCAATTGCTGCGGCTGCTAATGAGTTATATAAAGTTGCGAAATCCCATGGCCTTGGGGATCAGGACTTCTCTGCAGTCATTGAAGCATTGAAGGCCAAAATGGAACATTCATCCAATGAGTGACCACAGCTTCTTTTGATGACAGACACTAGGCTTGCTAGCAATGCAGCTCCATTTTACTGCTTTCTTTTTTCAGAAAAGTGACTGAATTGATGTGTGAGCATCGTAAGTTCCCTGACCTTTGTTATGATCAAATTATAAAAATCCAATCCCAACTCAATATACTGATAAACAAAGTCGATTACAGCATTGATATAGCATCAAACATAAGCAACAGAATAAAAATGCAGCAGAAAAGAAATAGAGAGCGAGCTGTGTCCACAGAGGAGAGAATCACACCAGAGAGAGATCACAAAATCATTCCACGCCCTACTCATTCTACCCTCTCCTCATATATAGCACTGGGTTCACATTTAGCATTCTCTCTCAATTCTATTATTTTTAACCACATCATACAGAGCAGCATAGGCACAACCGACACCACCACTCTTCTTGAATGATCCCAATCCACAGGTCCTTCTGGGGTCCCACCAATATTTGGAAGATTCATGACATTACCCTTCTCATAGAAATTGACCTTGTCCTCAAGGTCAGGAGATGAAAAAATAGCATAAAGAAATAGCCAAAGAAACTCGTTCGTGAATACAGGAAGGAATTCCGTCTTGAACCAATCCAGAAATGATAGTAACAGGCACGAGGAATACTTGGGAGAATCCATTTGAAAAGTCAACTTGAAAGTAGCAACCCATTTAGATGAAAATAACCCAAAGCCTTGGAATAGACAAACATGATCGAGGAATGCATGTCATGGTTACTACCCAAAGGGAGAAGCATCACTTCACTCAATGTCATCGCAAGAAGAGTATTGGGAATGGAATGACAATGAAAGAAAAATAAAAAACCAAATTGCCTTCCTGTGGTGCCACCAGTAGAAACAAGACAATGATCATTTATGTGGGCAATAATTTGAGAAAGAGATCCTTCACCACTAAATTGCAATTGAGAGGGTGTGATACAAATCCCAAAGACCTTTAATGAAAATAGCAATCTGTCACACCGTTAACAAATATTTCATTAGCCTAAGTACTTAACACATCTAACATATTAATTATAATTTTATCATATAATCGTCATTCATATTAAGTTATTGATAATAAAAGCAAAATATTTAAACTTATTGTAGAATTTTAGCAAAATCTTTGCTATAAGTTGGACTTTCAAAAATCTTTACAACTTGCTAAAAAGAACATCCACATAGCATTCAGAGTTCTACTCCGATACAATATAAACATATACAAACCAAAATTATTTAAATAAGGATTTCGCCTATATGATTCGCAGAGAGACTCTATGCTTCTTATTTCAAGGAATCCCTTAAGGTCTATTGCAAAGTAGGTCCACTTCTATTATTTGAAGACTAAAAATTCTTTCAGTGAATAACGTTCCAAAATAATAATAATAAATAAAAATAATAATCATAAATATATACAATAAAAAACAAGAGGCTAATCTATTTGCTGATGGTATTAGAAGATAACAACACAATTTTATCTTGATAATTGAGTAACAAAAATAGAAGAAAGAAAATAGAGAATTATAATTAACAAATTAGGAATATATCTTTTATACAAAACAAATCATAGAAATACAATTTTTAAAAGCAAAAATATAACTTGAAAAAATTTGTTTTCTGTTAAAACCTAAACAGAATGAATAATAGGTGTGAACACATAGTTCATGAGGATATGTAACATCTGGCGTGGCTAAAAGTCACGAAAAATAGACACAAGCATAAAGCTCACGAATAACAAGCGTAAATCATATTCACGAAATTATACCCTCCCTTTCATGTGTGTTGGTCGACACACAAAGCTAGCACTTTCAAAGTATCCTGCTAACTGAGTATGCCATAGCATACTAAGGATTAATAAAACTGTCGTTAGCAACCGACGTTTTGTATTCAATCCTATAAAACATTTATGTCACACAAAGAGTCCAAAATTCCTTAATTATGAAGCATAAATAACTTTTTTACCTATAATTTATCCAATCTATGCATGTACAATACTTTTTAAGAGAAATAAAATACCATAAGAGTGTCTACATAATTAAAGTTGAATAATAAATAAACTAATTACATATAAATTAGCTTAACCATAAGATACAATTAAAAAAGTTTAGAACATTAAAATAAATAATTAAACAAAATAAGAGAAAGATCATTACTTTTATTTATTGAGGAATGTTATTTACTTACTTGATATATCACTAAATTCTTAAAATTCTTTTCTTACAACTTCAATCAAACTTTTCTTTTTCTGAAGTTCCTATTAGACATAATAAAATTTTAATAAATCTTTTAAAAAATTAAATCTATTTTACATACATCCTCATTTATACCTCTAAATTCTCCATTTTATTTTTAGCCAAACTAATTGCATTGTTATAACACAATCCTAATTATACTTCTTAAATCATCCTTTGCCAAGAATCAATGTAAATGATATACAATATATATATATATATATATATTTTCTCCGTTCAAAAATATAAAATATTTTTTAAAAAGTTGGATGTTCAAAATATAAGGCATTTTTAATTTTTTGAGATATAATTATTATTTTTTTTAAAGCACTCCTATTGATAATGACTTTATATTTATTGTAGGGTATTTAATAATGATAAATATGAAAAGATATGATTAATTTAAAAGTAAGCAATTATTTTATTTGAGGGTAAGATTCGGCTAAAAATATCTTATATTTTTTTACGAAGGGAGTATATCATTATTTTCCTGTACAATAACAAAACTGAAGCCTTCAATTTAACATTAGTTAAATAAACAATCCTTCCCCTACACGTACAGCTCTAGTTAAAAAGGCAAGGAAAGAGTTTAAAATTGAACATATAAAGCAAGAGAAACATCAATGTCTAACACTCACACAGCACACACATCAACAGCACAGAGAAGAACATGAAAAATTCAACTCACTAAATCAGCATCAGCGGAACAGGGGAAGAGAAGAATTCGACCATGTGCACAGGGGAGGGAAGGAACTTAGATTCAGACTTCTTATAGCAACAGCCCAACTACTCAGCTGCGTGGACGAGGAAGGAATGGAGGCAGAGGAGAATCCGGCGAGGGGGAGCGGCTGAGAAGAATGGCAGACGTTTGGAAGTTGGATGAAGAATCTCGAAGCACTTCTCTCTCTTTTTCTCTCGGCGGATCAAAACTGGAAATGAAGAGGGAATAAGAAAAATATACACATGCTGATAAGCGTGGGTGTGTTTTTATCACCCTTTTAAAGGGCAAAGAGGTAATTTCACAAAGCAAAAATAAAATAGGCCTGCATTATATATACGAGATATTACACAATATTAAGGAGTAGGGCAAGAAGATGCGTGGCACATTCTTGACTTCATTGAGCAACCTACAAATTTGAAGAAAATTAACCAAATAAGGAATAAATGATTTGGGTTTTATGTCCACGAAGAAATCACATAATGTCATTGTTTTTAAAACCGAACCGGATCGATCAGTCCGATCGGTGAACCGGTGACTCAACCATGTGTCCGGTCCGGTTTTCTTTTTATTGTGTTTTAAGTTAACCCGGGTGACCCGGGATTAACCCGCCCAACCCCTCGGTTCAGGCGGGTTGGGCGGGTTGAAATTTAAAAAAAAAATTGATAATGATTAACCAAGATATATATTTATTTTTGACATGATAATGATTAATGATAGGTCAATAGAAGTCATGGGGTAAAAAAAATATACTTATGTCAGATGAGGGGATGAAAGAAGCAAAAAGAAATCAAAAAGTATAAATATATATTATATTATATTATTTTTTTAATTTGAATTATTTAATTAAATAATTTTTAGAATATATCACTTTCATTTATTATCTTTTATTTTAAAATAAATTTTTATTTCTATTATTTTAACTCATTGAAATTTTTTTATCATTTAATTAACCTTATTTTAAAAAAATATAGAAATGTTGTTATACTTTATTATTGTTAGAATTATTATTATATGTTATATGAGATATTAAGACTTGAATATGTATGAATGTATTGAGAATTAATATATTTTTAATTTAAATTATATTATTTTATTATGACCGGTCTAATTTCGATTTGACTCCTGGTTGAACCCATGACTCTTGATCTCTGCATTTAACCGATTCAATGATCGATCCGGTTTTCAATACCTTGCATGATGTATATCCACTAAAGCACCGCTTAAAGAGGAATCAAAAGTCAAACAGCAAGCATTTCCTACCGGCTATCCTAGCTTTCAACTGGCGTAAGTCAGAACCAAAAGTCAAACACCAAGCCTTCCAATCATCCCCTGGGTCAAACTAGAATATATAGAATGGGAACAAAGCTGGGAAGCTAGTACAGGGCAGAGGTGTCATCTTCGCAACATAAATGAGAAAGTGAATTTGCCCAACATTAAAAGTTTTCCCATAACATATCTTAAAAACCCAAAAATCATGTGAAGAAAACCATCCAAAAGTTTCCAAGTCCCCCTTTGCGGCCTTCATTCAAAAATGTAGAATATAAACCATAATCATAATCCACGCTAATAGTAATCTTGTCTTGAACTTAATGAATTCTTGAGGTGGAAATTTTGATGTTTATTGGAGGAAACTACCTACCTAGGTTCAACTCTTTATTGAGATAGGTGTCATACCTCATTCAGTACATGAGGAAAGTTTTTGATGAAAATAAAAATGAGATAAAAAATATACTCTTTTAATTCTATTTATAAGACAAAAAAAAATTATTTTGATCTTATTTATGAGGTACCTCAATAATTATTATATTTATTTTTACTCTTTTGCCCCTATTCAATATTAGGAAGATTATTAAATGTTAGAGTATTTTATTTTTAAAGTATACATATTTAATAGGGGTAAAATTAAAAAGTTATTAAATTTTTAAATAAAATTAATGAAATTTAATGTTTTCCTTAATTTTAATAAAAATATTATAAGTGACTTATAAATAGAACTGAAGATGATATTTAGTAAGGTAGTGAAAGTGAGATCAAAATTTGATTGTAGTAAGAAGGATGGAATTGAGTTCTCAATGGAATATGATGGAAGTGAATTTCATAATTTTTAATAAGAATGAGTTTTTAACATAATTGAAAACCCACACACCAAACAAGCAAATTTTATAGTTTTACTCTCACTCTCACTTTTTCAATCCCAATTCCACAATATCAAACAAGAGATAATGCCCAACCGTGCAATTAACTGATTACCTTCAAAACATCATCAAATATTAAATATTAATACACCACCAACAGGAACAGGAACAGGCGATATCATCCCCTCAAAATTTCTCAATATTATATATATATATATATAAAATAAATCATGTTATTTATATTTGTAAGCAATAAATGTATAATATGATTTATTCTTATTTGTATTATATAATCCATGTGACATGTGACTGGTTTAGTTACACGCAAAATACAATAATGGCATATATTTAATTTTAATTTCGGCCAGAATTAGGCTAATTAAACGTGTTTTTCCGAAACAAGAAAAATAGTTGAATCAATCAAACTCTACAACTTCTGGCAAAAAAAAAAAAATCTAACTCTACGACTACAAGGTGGCCACAACACCGTGGCTTGGTGGTTAGTACAACTGACGCAACCACTTCCTCGGCACTCTATTGGTCTGTGTCTCCACGCGCTTCATCTCACGCGCGGTTCATATCCGCGAAAACAGTCACAACACTGCCGCACAAGTTACATCCTCCGGGTCCCATCTCCTTCTCCCGAATATATTCTCTCTTGAATCCGTTACCCTCCTCCCTTTCCCTTTTCTCTCTCGCTTTTTTCTTATTCCTTTTCTATCTCATTTTCTCGCCTTCCAAACACTCTCAACAATGAGCAACGACGCTTCCAAAAACGATACAACACGCGTCCCCGCTGCTGACGCCGATCTCCCCGCTGCCGCAGCTGGTAACTTCTATCGGAACCCCTAATTTTTGCGCCGTGATCTTTATTGCTGCTCGTATCTCTCGTGTTCGTGATTTGGTGCTATATGAATCTAACTTATAATATTAGCATGAATTCTGCATCTTCCGGCTACTACAAGCTAGCCTTTAAAAGAAAAAAAAAAACGGTGCTCGTTTACTTATAACCTTCGAAAATTGTTTTTCTATTAAAAACTGAGAATTTATCGTTATTATTACTGCTACGACTGATTGAAGAATATGATATAAATTCAGAAGTGTTTGTTTTTTATCTGTAGCTCTTAGTCCCGAGGATCGTGCTGATCTCGTTAATGCGCTCAAGGTAAGTTTATATCGATATCCTAGTCCTTTTCTATTGAAAAAAGGGTGGAATTTGACTAAGGGTCGCTTTCTTGGCTGGCAAAAAACTTATATACAGTAACTTTTGCTTTCTGGATGTGGGGTGGTGATACTGTTAGCAAATTTTATATGGAATGCTTTTCATTATTGGGAAGAAAGAAAGGTGGAGTCTATTGATGTATTGAATGAAAATAAATATCTACACAGGCTACCTTTTCATAATGATATTTTCAAAACCAAAGTCTTGCTATCAAGATGTACTTATCTGAGTTTTTATAGCGCATTTTTCACTGATATATCTACTGTTTTTGCAGGATAAACTTCAGCTCTTGGCTGGGCAGCATGTGGACATCCTTGACACGCTGTCACCCAAAGTCAGGGAACGCATGGAGGTTCTCAGAGGTCTGCAGGTATGATGTTTTTGAAAAAAAATTTCTTGCCCTTCTTGCCAACTCTTAATTTGGATTCCCTGGGTGAATTAGAAAAATGAGAAGGTAGTGGGTCCCACTTGAGTGGAGTCCATATGTGGAGGTGGGACCCACTATTCTTACTATCTCTATTCACCAAGATGAAATACCTCAGAGGATTTCAAATCTCAATTCTGCCGGCTCTGTCTGTTCCTTATAGTGTTCGTTGTATTTAATAGCTTTTACATATTTTTTGTTGCAACTAATTTTTAATTGTGTTTCAGTCATAATTTCTGTGGTATTTGTAGCTGCTAGTGTGTGTAATGTATATATGTGTATTGCATCCTTTCATGAAGGAAGTGCTTTCTGTTTTGAGTGTCTGATGAAAATGGTCATAACAGAATGTAAAACAGGTTGACATAGTGTGATTGATCACGATGTCATGTTGCAATACTTTATAGCCCAGATGCTTTAAGCCTCAGTAATGTTTGACATGCCATGATTCTTTCTATCTCTTGTCTTGTCTCTATCCTTGTGAATTTATTGTCTCAGTAGCAGTTGCAGTCAATTAGCATGTAGTGTCTGGTTTTGTTGTAATAGGGGCCATGTTGTTATGCTCCTTAATAGAGTCTACTTCCTCTGGCTTCTTTCAAAGAAGTGTCATTTTTTCATTAGTTTGGTACTCAAATGAAGGTTTCCATTTTTCCCCCTGCAGAGCCAACATGATGAGTTGGAGTCAAAGTTTTTGGAGGAGAGAGCATCATTGGAAGCTAGATACCAGAAGCTTTATGAACCACTTTTCACAAAGGTGTGTATGTTAGTGAGTTGCTGGTCCTTTTTTATCAGATGGCTTTCTTTGGCTTTGGAGATTTTTTGCTCAAATAGATTTTGTAATTTCATGGGCTATGTTCTCTTTGAATTTTTTTGATGGTTGCTATAGAGGTATGAGATTGTCAATGGCATAGTCGAGGTTGAGGGAATTACAGATGAAGCAGGGACAGACAAAGAGAAAGTTACGGAAGGTAACCCTTATGCTCTTGTTTGCTCATACAGTCACAGGCATTGATGTTTAATACTATTTTGGTTGTTCGTGTAATCAGAGAAAGGAGTTCCAGGCTTCTGGCTAACTGCAATGAAGACTAATGAGACATTGACTGATGAGGTGGCGGAATTTAATGTTTTTTTTTTTTCCTATATGTTTTTCACCAACTGAAGCGTCATAGAATTGTAATTGATTTCTTTTTCTGGAGCAGATCACTGAACGTGATGAAGGAGCTCTCAAATATCTTAAAGACATCAAGTGGAGTAAACTCGACAATCCCAAGGGTTTTAAGCTGGAGTTCTTTTTTTCTACAAATCCATATTTTAAGAATTCTGTTCTGATAAAAACGTATCACATGATTGATGATGATGATGATCCTATATTAGAGAAAGCAATAGGGTAACTAATGTCTCTTAATACTGTCATGTTTTGTTATGTTGACATTCGATGCATATCTTATATTGTTTTACTTTGTAGAATGGAGATTGAATGGTATCCAGGAAAGAACTTGACGCAAAAGATTTTGAAGAAGAAGCCAAAGAAAGGGTCAAAGAATGCTAAACCTATCACAAAAACAGAACAATGTGATAGTTTTTTCAACTTTTTCAACCCACCCCAGATCCCTGAGGAGGATGATATCGATGAAGATGCTGTAAGTTGCTATTTTATATTTATTATATTGGATGCAGCAGAATTACTTTTAATCATAATTGTCTTTTATGTGTGCATGGATAGGTTGAAGAGCTGCAGAGCTTGATGGAACATGATTATGACATTGGGTAAGTGACTGGTGCCTGCAATGCATGAGAAATATGTCGTATTCCTCTGATCTGAGTATGTGGCCTCTTGACTTATCTATTGGTCTCGTTGGCATTAGAATTTAGTGATGTAATGATCATAGTTATCTCTTACATGCATTTGCATCATTTGTAAATTGTTTCATTCCGATCTTATTTGCTGGGTGACAGTTGTCATGAGAGAAAAATGTATTTACTACATTTCTTTTCAAGTTCACGACACTGAAAAATAGAAAAAAGCCTGTGCATCATTTTGGTGATCTGATAATGAAGTGAAAAGGATTAGGATGTATAAAGCATAAATTGACCAGAGGAAGGCATTGTTGGCTTTTGCAGAATCTTGTGATGATAGATTTATCCAAAAGAATGTTTATGGTGTTGTATTGTTTTCTTGTTGAATCGTAATTACCTTGGTGTAATATGCAGTTCTACAATTCGGGATAAAATTATTCCCCATGCTGTGTCATGGTTTACTGGGGAGGCAGTACAGAATGAATTCGAGGATATAGAAGCTGATGAAGATGATTATGAAGATGAAGAGGAAGACGATGACGATGACGACGACGACGATGACAATGAGGAGGAAGAGGAGGAAGATGAGGACAAGGGACAGGAAGGCAAAAACCAGAAGGTATTGCTTGTTGCTTATTTGTCTATGGAGGTGTTTGGTGTATTGTTCTCCCTCATTATTTGACATCTTGAATCCATGGCGTTGGATATCCAAGTATAAGATACCTTGATATTTAAGCTTATGTTTGATATGACTGAAAATAGTTCCCTCACATGACAATTTAGTATCTAGGATGACATAGATCATCCTAAACCTCATTTACTGAACATAAACATCTTGGACATAGCCTAGAATTTAAGATATCGAGATCAAGATAATGGGGCACTGGATGCTTTTGACATTTCAATCATATCTGTTATGTATGTTATGATCAATGCTTTCATGGTTTTTACTGCAGAAAAGTGGCAGGGCCAGGGCTGGGAAAGGTCAGCGAGGTGAAGAGCCTCCTGAATGCAAGCAACAGTAGTGTCTGGTTGCACGTTGCAGGCAGAGATAGGTTTAGTGTCAGTGGAGTAAATACTGCGGATAGCTCTAGTTTACTTCTATTAAAACTTACAATCGAAATTTTTACTGTGTGGTCCTTTTTAAGTTGATTTTTTTGGGGCTGTTTAATGGGGTTCTTTGGGCTGCTCTCCGGTATTGTGAATTTTATTTCCATCTTTGAAGTTAGAAGTATTAATGTGTGCTTTGTCCATATTTGTCGTGTATTATACGACATTGTACATATATTCTTACATTACTCTGCTTTTTCTACAAAAGTTCAAATTCTGTCAACTTGTCTGTGTAAGAAAGAACAATAAAAGCACAACCTGAGATCAGGGTGCTTGAAGGAAGAATCATGCAAAGAATGAAAATAGCGGCCACGAGTTACCTATTATTTATTTGTTGCCTTTGTGAACAAATTTAGCTGTAACGACGCCCTCTTTTATCAAATTTTTGGGTGGTAAGTTGCGTCTTATTTATGAAGTAAATTACGGTAGCCATTTTACCGCCCAAAAATTTATTTAACCTCGTAAAATGTATATTAAATATTTTTTGGGTCATTATTAATTTAATCATAACTAATCTTTTTTTTTTATTGGTTGTGATGCAATCATGACATAAAAGACAATACTTATAAATAAAATCATTTTTAATTTAAACCCCTCGTTTTATTGTGATTAACGGAGCTTCAACTAAAGATACGACATTTAGATGGCATGATGAAGGGAAGAATGAAAATTTAAATTTTCTATATTTTTTTTCATTGTAGTATAACCTTTTCTTACACGTCTGTTTGACCGAATCACAACTTTCCTCTTAGTTGATCTTTTATCAGCAAGCATGAATCAAAAGATTACCAAGTCATGTCTTTGAAGAAGGCAAAGTAACTGATATTCTTTGAAGTATGAACATGACTTTCCAGGATAGATGAGAAAATTTTCAATAGAAAGCAGAGAAGTAATATATTATTCTGTGAAGTAAGTCACTACACTCTGATTTTGCTAATCTCCTAGTTCTAGCATATTCATGCAAGGAAAAATTAATAGAAGACTCTTCTTATGGATCTCATTTCAGGATACACATTTCATTATGCCATCTTAGATAAAACTTGAATAATCTACATTTTTATTATTTTTTACTTCAATAATTTTTATTTTGGAAAAAAAAATCACAACAAATTAAATCTTAATTGTTATTTAGGAAATTAAGATTTGAAGACTCTGACGAAAATAATTCAAGATTTCTTTTCAAGATTCGCCAACTCCTATATAGTAATTATCCTCTGCTAGAGTTTAAAAGAGTCTTATCTATACATCAGACAAAAAATTACATCAAATCATTGGCTAGTGAAAATATGCTTTCATAGTTTGTATTGGTGAGCTTTTCTCTCTTTTGCTTCGCACACAATCCATTTCCCCACATTATTCTTCTTAGTTTCCATTGATATATGCTCTCTTCATGCTCCAGGCACTCAACTTTGTGATATTCACATCCACAGAACCATTATTGAAAGCATAGAGGTTTGCTTTATCATCAATTGCCAAAGTAGGATAAACTCTGGCTGTGATGCAAGCTCTTCCTTCTCCCCCAAAACTCTCCACTACAGAGTGATCAATCTGTCAAAAGGATATCCCCATGCATTAGTATGAAGCTATATATACTCATAATGATACCATTATCAATATGAATACATGACAAAATATACAAGAAGCCGCATTATTCATAAATCATGAACAGTACAACTCGCCTTAAACTCTGCAAAACATTGATTCATAATCTAATTTTATAGAAAGGTACAAGCAGGGAAGTACTATGTTATGCTTGGTTGTTATATTTTAGAATCAAGAACAGAAATACATATTTCCATGTTTGCATTATGGAGGTGTTGGCATGCTATGACTTTCACATTTGAAACATTACCAAGCTTCTCAGTGACAGCTTCTCCTGAAGAGGGTCCACATCCACAAATGTGCCATAAGAGGTCAGATCATTATTTTTATTTAAGGAAGACCTACAAAAATTTTGCATTTTTATCTCAAACTTCCAAAGTTTGGTGATGAGAAAACGTTGAACAGAAAGGGTATAATGGCCCAAAAAAAAAAAAAAAACCTGCTTTGGTCACTGCACATGAGAACCACAATTTGGTTTTGATATTTGAATATTCTAAAGAACACGGCAGTGTACTCCTTCAAGTCATTTGAAGCAAAGACAAGCAGACCAAAGGGCCCAAGGCCACCTGTTACAGTTGCACCCTTTTCACTGCAGAGAATTCGGGGGTCCTTCCATTCATTCAATACTTCAACCTTCCCAAACTCTCGCACTCCAAATGAAATCTCAACATCAGCCTGCAATGAAAAGGGAAAAACATGTGATTAGTCATATGAAAATATAAAATGTGACATTTGTGGCTAGATTGTTAGTGGGCTACTAATCTGGATCCTTCAGAGTTACAAAAATGATCATACACAGTGCACTCGCAAAAAGATAGAAGAAAGGAGATGAGTATATATAAAAACAACAGTAACAATAAGCCCTGTTCCACCAAGTGAAGTAAGTTATATAGATTGCATGACACCCATTTGTTCCATCAACAATCAAGTTTTTGGATGTATTGTTAACCAAAAGCTTCCATTCAACAATTTCATTGAGTGTTGAAAAAAAAGGACAGGCATAAAAAGAAAAATTGGTCTTGACATTATTTTTGTCACTTCTTCACTGTGCATGAATACATTACTATCACCCAAGTTTCAGTTGCTATAGTGAAACCTTACTTCTGAGTCTACAGTTGTTTTATTTGAGCAATACTATTAACATGTAGAACTTAATTACCTGTGATGCCGTGACATTATTAACTTGAAGCTTTTCCCCTCCCTTAAGTACTTTTGGGAGACAAATTGACTAAGTTTCCACGTAGCTTTTCTATCTCCACCACTGGCCATTGCACCATTTGTTTCCCAGATTTTTGAAGCCATATACGCCTTGGAATTGCCTGCAAAAACATGTACATATATGAACCAAGACCCAGTTAATCAAGTCTCGTGTACATCTTCAGAATATACACAAACAAGTTACCAGAAGAATCAGCCATTAAAACTAAATTATTCTGCTCATTTCCTATGGTTTCATCAAATTTAACTACCACACCAAATTACCTGAATTCCAGACCAATCTTTCTTGAGATCTTCCTGCAAGCTAGAGGATTCCTTAATCCAAGCGAACAAGACCCTTCTGTTATTCCCATCATCAAAAAAGGACTTAGATGCATAGAATTTTCCATAGTCATATCTTGAAGCGTTTTTAATTTTACTATCAGGGACAAAGACATCATCACCATCATAACTTCCAATCATATAGTAATCATTCTGCTTGTCACTCAAGCTAGCCTTAAGCACATGCCTAACATGAGGACCATTCACAGACACATCAACGCCAGATGAATTCTCAATCAACACAGGGAAGAAATCAGGACACTCCCACATTCCAGATCCTTCTGCAAAAAATAGTGTCCCATTGGCTTTAATCCAATCCAAGAAGTCTTTGCTTCTGTACAAAATAGGTTGATTCTGGCTTCCAATGAGAACTCTCCAATACCCATCTTTGCCAAACCAAGCAGTGGTGGGGTCTCTGAAAGAACCAGCATCGAGGTTGTCGGAAATTCTGGGTTCTATGATTGCATTTTTGGGTGATTTGATCCATTCTCTGAGAAATGGGTCGGATAAGTTGGTGGGGTAGGCCAAGTTTTGAACTTGACGAGAGGATGAATCAATTCCGGTGTAGAGAATAACTGGTTTGCCCCCAGAAAGCTTTGTGCTTGATCCTGACCAGCAGCCATTAGTATCGAATGGCTCAGACGGGACGATCGCAGAATCCAGTGGGGTCCAGTTCACAAGATCATCAGATACTGAGTGGCCCCACACAACATGCCCCCACAGATTTGACTGGTAGAATAGATGATATACTCCCATGTATCTCATTGGTCCTGCAATATTATAGGACATATTTCAGTTCAGCAATATTAAGTGAATCATTATTTCATTCGAAGCATCAATCAATTTTAACGTTATAGTAGTGTGTGTGAGAGAGAGAGAGAGAGAGAGAGAGAGAGAGAGAGTGAGTGGGTGTGTAACTAACCATGGGGATCTGCAACCCCAAACACGGCCGAGAGGAATCCAATTCAGCGTATGACATGTCAGATAACAAAACAAGAAAAGAAGAAAGTTTGAGATCATGAATTAATTATTCAAATATCAGCAGAGAGGGAAAGTGAGATCATTTGACATGAGTTGTACGTACCGTTCATCCAACCACTGGGAGGTTGAAAATGATAAGCAGTTCTGTAAGGTTGATTTGAGGAAGCTTCAACATGAAGAAGAAGCAGAATAACATACAAGATAATAACCAAAACCCAAACTGGAGATAGTATCGCCATGCTGCCTTTTAATCTGATATTTGTGAGATCAATAATGGAAGCTTGTAATATCTATATATATATATATATATATATGAAATCAATTTATGTAAAGGAGTGTGTGCTCATATGCTGGCCTTGAATTTGCATATATAAAAGAAAGAAAATTCAATGAGAAAGAGAAAGAGAAAATTTCCAATGGAATTAAAACTTCCAATGAGAAAATTCAAAGACGTGCGATGCAGACCAGTAGAGAAAGAGAAAGGTGGTGTTTATTTCCAAGCATTATTAATATTATAACTAACTTTTGGGCAACAAGCATTACTGTGACTATGAGTATCGTTTCTTTCACGTCTATTATTGATAATTACCATAGTCATACCTTATTTGGTTCCACGAATGTCATGATTTTAAAAGTTACCCACTCCATTAAAAAATATAAAATATTTTTAATTAAATTTTATCTCTCAATAAAGTGATTAATTTTAAACTAACTCTATCTTTTTATATTTATCCTTATTAAATACCTTATAATAAATACAAAGTTATTATTAATAGAAGCACTTTTTAAAAAAAAATACAATGATTATACCTTAAAAACCTAAAAATACCTTACATTTTTTAATACAAGGAGTATTCTCATTCATTATTTGAAAATAATTGTTGTGATTTTGGACGTAGTTAATAATAAACTTTTTGTATGGAATATTGGCGTTAAAAGACTGATCATTAAAAAACCAAATTTTTGTGGGTCTACTCGCCAAAACTTTGGAAGTTTGAACTCTTAAACTAGGGGGATGAAGCAGCACGATCTTTTTTTATTACGAACTGAGACAACAAAAGGAAAAACTACGCGAAAGCAAATAACAAACTGAGACCGTTTTCAAACTACTCCAAATTTATCAGTGATTTTGAGTTCTTTGAAATATTTTGCAAGTAGACCCATTTTTATTATCGTATAATTTGAGGAGAAATGTGCATGTTCATCAT